CTGCCTACCCTCTGGTGTTTCATCTTCTCCTCGACTGGCTGAGCGTGCGATGTTGCTGAGTCCTGCAGCCGACATCAGAGACTCGACTTCAGCTGCCGCGTGGGCTAAATCTGTAATGCCACCAGATAGTGCACTTTGACTGGGAGAATCCGGGGCATGGCCTGTGACCGAATGGAGTGATTTGATTACCAAAAAAAGGAAAGCGGACTACTAAATATGGCAACGCAAAGACAATATATGGATTTTGGTAACAGGATGGGCAGGTATACTGAAACTGAGATTGTCTGCGTCAGGGCTTATGACGAGAGTGGGGAGTGGCATAGTTGCCAGATACGGATATACGATCACTACATATAGAAACGCAACGACCGTATATGGGTATTGGTAATCACATGAGTTAACTACAGAGAGTACACAGCAACTGACTTTCAAGGTCGTTCGTTAGTATGAGTTCATTGAAACCCAAAATAAGAATACATATCGGCTAAATGTGGGAATGTAATGCCCATATATAGATATTGGGAATAACATGAGTTATCTACAGGGAGTACACTGCTACTGACTATCAAGGTCGTGGTCTTTAGTATGAGAGAGTACGTTGAAACCCAAAATAAGAATACGTGTCGGTTAAATATGGGAATGTAATGACCATATATGGTATGCAAGAACTACTGGACATACCCACAGGGTCCTCCTGCAGACAAGAGAGGTCAGGGCAGTCGCCTACAATCACAATAGAATACAAAGCCATAAACCCTAAACCCTAAACAGATAAGCAGTTACCGAGTTAGATACTACTGTAGCCATGCATATACGATTCCTAACATGTTTCAATTGCAAGTCACAGGCTACGTTGGGGCTCTCATAGCGTAGCAAGCGACCTACAACTGATATGGCTGTCCCACATACAACCAAACAAACACACACATGTGTATACACACGTACAAGCATGCGACTATACAAAGAGGTGTACACACACCCTTCAACTGCAACATCTCGTCCTGGAGCTCTGCTGCACTTTCACCCAGTAGGTCTATGGATCGTTTGCATGGTCATATAGAAACTACTAACCTACCCCACACAAACGAAAGGGGTGTGTGTATCATCTAACTGTGCACTCTCAGACCCATCTCACAATTTCACACACGTGTAATACTATACACATTTTCAAATAAATATATGTATGCGCGTGTGTATGACTATATATATACATATAAAAATATATGTATGCGCGTGTGTATGTATATATATATACATATATAAATATATGTATGCGCGTGTGTATGTATACATATATACATACACAGACTTATACACACATACCGCTCTCCTCCACTTTCTCGCCCTCCAACTCCGCAGGTACAATGATAGGCCTCTGCAGGGTTTCCACATCCATGAACAGGTTGCCCAACTGTCCTACTACTGGGGGTGGGGATATAGGACGTGCGTGTGCGTCATCAGATTCAGACCCTTCAGCAGTCTCTTTGATGGTATCTGTGGCAGACCGGATCACCCGCGGACTAGCGGGCAGTAGCCGAGGCCCACTGGCTGCTACAACCGGGGTTGGCTTCTTCTCGGGGGCTGGGCCTGAATGTGAGGAGAAAACCCCGATTTATAAATATATATTTAGGTATATATATCTATATATA